ATTGCAAATTTTCACTGTTACTGGGATTTGAACTCTAGACCTGCCACTTGGAGGTTGACAACCTATCCACTTCACTAAGTCACCACATTCTTCTTCTATATTTTGTATCTGAAGGTCTAAACCCATTTCACTATATCTTTTATTTGACTTTTCTTGCATTGTGTTTTTGATTCTAGATACCTCTTGTTATTTACTATTTCATTTTAATCTTTTTTGTTTTCTTCTTCTTGATTTATCTCCTTTTTGTTCTTTTCTTCTTCTAGGATTTTTTCAACTTATTTAATAGTTATTGTACTATATTGGTGTTGTTTGAGCTTCTTCTGCTACTAAAGCATTTGCAAAAATGATTATTGCAAACTTCTTTTAATTTTTATTTCTGTTATATGGGATATATACTGCTTTTGCATTTTTGTTTTTTAGACATCATAACAGAAGCACTTCTAAGGCTCTTCTTAGGATGTTTAATAATTTAGCTATATACTATTCTTGCTTATCTCTTTGGTCATAATCTTTATCTTTAATTGTTATATGTACTAGTTTGTTATTGCCAAATGGCAGTATTCATAGAATATTTTCTTCTTTCTCTAAGCTCATTATTATTATTGCCAATGCCTTGTATGATAATTTTTTGACTTATATAATATTCAAGTTTTTGAATTTTCTACACATATATTTAATCTCTTTTTCATTAATATTTGGTAATAGATCCTATATAGTTAATCATTTTTTCTCTTGCAATTTCTTTTTATTGTCTTTACTATTTTTTATTATTATACTTTTCTTTATAACATTTTTTTCTTTTTTTTCTTTTTCTTATTTCTTTTTTCTTTTGTTCTTTTTATTTCTTTGTCTTTTCTCATTTGTTTTATATCTTTTCTTTTTTCTTTTTTAGTATTGTTTCTTTTACTACTTTATTTCTTGACTTTTACTTTTATTTTTTTCTAAAATAAGTTTAAGCTATTCATTATCTTTTTTCCTGATTTTATTCATTGCCACATTTCTGCTATATTTACAATCAAGGTCTATTTTTATTCAATTATTCCTATTTTTGAATACTTCTTTGATGGTTTTGATATGATAGTTATTTCCTAGGATCCATTGGATATACTTTACTCTTTCTTTTTTGGATTTACCTAATAAAGCATAAGTTGGCATATTTGCCTTAAAGGATTTATTCTTGTTGCATATTCTGTTTTCTGAAAACTATCAACTATACTTAATCATATATACTAGAAATAAGATGCTAGTTTCTTTATCAGTTGGTTCTTTTTTTTGTTTTTCTAATTTCATGTTTATGTCCTTATTGTTTTCCTTTATTCCCTGCACTATATTATTGTTTAGTATTTCAAATTTATTGATCATTTGACTTTTTTGATGATATGATATAGCAATACTAAAACCTTCTATTTGTTCTTCAAATATTTCAAGACTTTGCTCATCATTTGTTTTTCTTTCTTCTTGATATGTTATTTCTTTGTTTATGTTTGTGTTGTATTTAAATAAGTCTGGATTAAAACTTATTGACTTAAGTTTTACTGCCCACTTATCAATTATCTCTTCTTTGAGCCAGTTTGTTTTTGCTATTTTTAATATTTTTAGTATTTGATCATATACTAACATATCATATAGTATAATATGTTTTGGGTCATATATTGCTAATTTTTTAGCAATATGCTTTATATTACTTGGGTTCTGTATAGGAGTTTTGAGAACTTGGTCTAGAATTCTATAATCTATATGTCTTTGATTTCTATTCTTTATTTCTCTAATATAAGATATGATATCTGTATTGCAATTTTCATTTATTGGTTTATATTTTAATGTTTAGATCGAGATCTTCTTTTTTAGACTAACTAATATCTATAATTAAATTTTGTAATATTTGTTAGTATCTTGTTAGTACTATGTTACTGGTTCTATAATAATATTTGCTATTTTCTAATTAGACATAAGACTCATTTGTTTATTGTTGTTTGTTGTTGCTATAGTTATCATATATTTTGTTTTCTATTTTTCAGAGTAATGTCAATTTTCCAAAATTTTTTACTTTTTTGTTAAAAATATTGCTGTTTCTCATTAATATCTTAGTGCAGCTTCCTTTGTCTTCTAACTTTTACTATATTATATGTATTTTTTTCTGATACAGCTTTTTTGTTAGTTATCTAAAAGGTGTTTGCTAGTCTATTTTCTGTTATTTTTGAGTTTGTTTTTTATTGTTTTTGAAATCAAGGATCAGCAAAGAGAGTTGTTAATAAAAAAAAAAAAAACTTCTATTATTATTTAATTAATAGATCTTAATATCTTTATATCTTGCATATTAAATTAATAAAAATTAGTTTGTTCAATACTAACTTTTTTGTATAGATCTAAGTGTTTTGTATATCTAATATTTTATTTGTTTTATTGTTAATTAGTACTCTTAAGTTACAATAGTTAAATTAATATAACTTTTAAATTTGTTTAGTACTGTAGTGTAGCGTATTTGCATTTGTAAACTATAAATTAAAGTTTAGTTAATTTTTTATTAATTTATAATCATTTTTATAAATTTTTTTTATTTCTAATAATATTAAAATTTATATAATTTGATTGGTTAATTATCATATATACTTATAACTAAATTTACAAAAATTAACCAACATATAATATTTTTTTAAGTATAAGCATTCCTTTTGGCTATATGGCATGTCTATGGGCATACACATAAGACATGCCCCATGCCTCTGCCCTGAACCCTAGCTGGCTAACTTTTTTAATGTCGGTAAAGCCATGAATTGTATAATATTTATTTTGAAATTTTTATATGTATAATTCTATTTGCAATATTTCTAATATATATCTGACCATAAACATTGCTATACAAAATAAATTCATGTATAATTTTGTATAATAGATAGTTTCTGGCAGAAACATTTGCAAAAAGAAAACAGACAATAGTAAATCCATATATCGATAAAGTTGACCCTGGTGGCTGATTTCGCATACATAATTGTGTTTATTTTTGTATGTGTATTTCGGGAATTTATTAGCATTTCACATCTTTGATGATTTTGATAATATATGTACTAATGCCTTGTGTTCATCTTTTTCAACCCATCACATTTTCATAATATTATGTTACTATTAAAATTAAATTCTAATAGAACAGTAGCAATAGATCAATATCAAAAATGCAAAATTAATTATGTTTATGTCGCTAAGTGTAATAGAACCCAGAGTAATAAACATCGATTTAAAAACCAAGATCCTTTTTTACCTAAGCTTTGGTTTAAACTCACTTAAGCTTCAGGTTAAACTCAATAATTTTTACATAAGCTTTAATTTAAGGCTAAAGTTAAAATAGTTTGCGATCAGAGATTAAAATAATTTGTGCAAAACGTTAAAAAAATTCATATTCAAAATGATTCATATTCAAAATGTTAAAGTTATCGAAGCTTTACCACCTATACTACGTACATTTCAGCCATAAATATCAAGCTTTTTAATTTCAAATTGTTTAATATCATTTAGAACATTTTATTAAAATTTATCTAAACTTTTTATTATGATTTCATTGTAGCGACTCAAACAAATTGTATTATTTACTTTAAGATAAGAAAGGAAAGTTTCGTTAGTCTATTCTTTTGTAATAACATTTTCAATTACCATTTCCAGTGGTTTGAATTCTCGCATATAGCTAGAGATGAGAAACTGAAACCCGAAAATACAATGTAGTTTCGGGTTTCGGTTCCCATCTCTACATATAGCAATTATGCATGGCTTTAAAATACCACCAGTTAATGGCATTTTTGTCTTCTAAGTAAGTCAGAAAGCAGATTATTTTCAGATTCTTTTGCACAGTAAATATTAACGTTTTTTTAATGCTAAAAATGACTTTTACGGCGATTTTTTTTTTTTATTGAAACGTTACGTTCTCAAAAAGTACTCTAAGTGTATAAATAAGTTACCTGGGCAATTGAATGTTTGACCATACCATGTAAATCATATGACAAAATGATCTACGTTTACTCTACCCTTAATATAGGCCAAATAAATATTCTCACTTTAACGAATTATTAGTTCCATTAACTTCAGCAGCAAAGTTTCTGGTTGAATTACAAAAATGAAGACATATGGAGAACGTGCCATAAACCTGCCTAACAAGACAGCACAAGATTTATTTACACTTATGGAACGTAAAAAGTCCAACCTTGCAGTAGCACTTGATGTGACAACCAAACAAGAATTCCTTGATATTGCAGACAAAGTTGGACCGTATATCTGTTGTTTGAAAGTAAGTCACATACAAATAACATCAAGTGTTCATTGAATATATTGTCATCAATGGTATACGAACTTATACTTGAGTCACTGGAAAGCTAAAACGCGTTTTACAATCAAAATAGTCAATTAATCTTTATAACGAAATTAATAATAATTTCTATTGCGCTTAGACACATGTTGATATATTGGAAGACTTTGATCAAGATCTTATTGATAAACTTAAAAAGTTACAAAAGAAGCATGATTTTATAATCTTTGAAGACAGGAAATTTGCAGATATTGGTGACATTTCTTATTTGTTTATTTTATAAAACTTGATTATCAAATATAAAATATTTATGTTAATTGTTTGTTTATAATATTTATACAAATATAAAATGAATAGGTAATACAGTAAAACATCAATATTCCAAGGGCATTTATAAAATCGCAGAATGGGCGGATATTATAGATGCTCACGCAATACCTGGAGATGGTATTATCTTAGGATTGAAAGAAATTGGATTACCTTTAAAGCGAGGATTATTGCTTCTTGCAGAGATGTCTTCAAAAGGAAATTTGGCAACAGGGGCTTACACAGAAGCCACAATTGAAATGGCTAAAAGGCATAAAGATTTTGTGATCGGGTTTATTTCTGGAAAAAAATATAATTCTTGTGAAGAATTAATTGTTATGACGCCAGGAGTTTCTTTAGATAATTCTAATGATGATTTAGGACAACAATATAAAACACCTAGAAATGTCATTGAAAACGGTAGCGATATTATTATTGTAGGGCGTGGAATTTATGGAAAAGGTAAAGATCCGGTCGTTGAAGCACAGCGATACAGAAATGCTGGATGGAATGCTTATTTAGAAAAATTAGAAAACTAAACAAAATTTTGTGCACATTTATTTATACATAAAGACAATAATACAGTAATTTTGCATGAAAATATATACGTATTTAAAATGAGTTGTTATACGCATTAGGAAACATATCTGTTTCATATAATAGCGATAATTACGCATAATTAGTGTTACTTAACATTACATATCAGTATTGAATATTACACCATGAACAAACAAGTTAGTTCTTATAATTAAAAAATTTTTGATATTTCATGTGAAGAGCACTGAATAAGCATTTATAAATAAGTCTAATTTATACATTATCACATTCATTACAATGAAAGTTCCCGAGAAAATTTTTCCTATAAAGATCACAAAACAAATAATCCGAAAGTTGTAGACGATTCTGGAGTTTTATCTAGAGCCAACAAGAATTTTTTAAAAGAAATCATTTGATAAACATCAAAAAAGGGAGCTTTGTATTTGTATTCTATTGATTGATCTCAGGGGCGGAGAATTCACGTGTGCTAACTCACGATCGATAATCAGTTTATAAGTTCGTAAATGCAATATGCCATATGTTGTACATCATATATTTAAAGTATTTTTGATCAACGATATTCTTATACCGGATCATCATGCTTATTCACAGTTTATCATTTTCCACGCCTCTTAGCATCAGGATCAAAAGTGATTGATTAAGTAATACCATAACTGCTTTCTCAATGAATTAGTTCTTGACCAATTCTAATTATAGAATCAAAGTATGGATTGTTTTTAAAGTGGACACTTTGTCACACTTGACTTATATCATAAATTTTCACACTATTTTCACGAGCATGATCCGCTTATCAGGTAATAAATTTATTGGATTTTATTCTAGAACCTAAAACAATTGTACATAAGTGTCATGAGTTTCCGAATGTAGATCATGCAATATTGAAACAAGGATCTGTAAATATTTCTATAGTTGACCCTGAAAAAACTTATATAAGTAATCGTCTTTTTGTTTTTTTTTTCTTTACAGAATTGTGAATTTGTTTATAAATACCCTATTTAAATGGATATTGATATTACCAAGAAAATTATTGTGAGTGATATCTGTTCTAGCTCTTCTGAAAAAACAGGTATTTTATATAAAAATGTTATATTATTTTGTTAATATTATATTATTCGTGTATGCGTAACAAAAAGTTTTTTTATTTTTGAACGCACGCCCATTTTTTTTTTTTAAATGTTTGGTTTCTTGATTATTTGAATGAAATGTGAGATAAATCAATTTAACTAATGGTTACTCTAAATTTTGTGCAACTATAGTTAAAGACTTTTTCTTATTTTGTGGCAAAATCAAGGGGTTCGAATTGATAAAGTAAGCAATATAAACATTCAGTTAATTTTTACTTCTCACTATTTTTATTATTATTATTATTAACATCTTTGTTATTTATTAATAACATCTTTATAGAGAAGAAAATAGTGACAAGCAAATTGCCCATATCATGTTTGAACGAGAAACTGCAGCGAGAACAGCCCTAATGCTGACAAACGCTTTTATTGGAGAAAGTCAAATCAATGTCAAACCTGCTGGTGCACCAAGCAGCGATGAATGTTTAGATGATGGTGAAGGATATGATGGTCAAGAAGGAAAACCAAAATTAATGATATTCGCGGAAATTTTAGCCGCCGGTTATCAATTATCAGAAACCATACTCAATAAAGGTGCTAAATTCGATGGTATGTAATAAAAGTTTATTAATTGAAGACCTGTTTATTATGAGTTAGCCTTAAGTGTTTCTTTAAATATATGTTAACGGATTTTATTATAAATTATTAGCTAAATATGGTTTTAGCGCATTTGTCAAGCAATATTGGTCCTTTGTCCAAGCATACTGTAAGTTTAGATTATACTTTTTTTTTTATAATGTTAGCTTTTTATAACTTAGAATACTGACAAAAACCGTTTTTTTTGACTTAGGTTTGGCATTTGATGACAAATATAAAGTATACGATACTGTTACTGCCAAAGCACATGAAATAGATACCAAATATTCAGTTCAAGAAAAGGTACATCAAGTTCAAGACAAAGCACTCGGTTCATCCACCGGTAAACTTGTTGTTGACCTTTATGCAAACGCAACGAAACAAGTCGGTGATATTCATTGTTTGGCAAAGCGAATCGCAAATGAGAGAAAATCAGCTCACGCAGACAATACCATTGAAGCTCACTAAAGCTTATTAAATCAAAACCAAATAGTATATATTACTCATAATATTCATTATACCGTATCATATATATCCCATAAAGTAGTTAATATAAATTGAACGTTTAGTTTTTTCATCAAGTAACGAACATTCTTTGTTTAAGATTTCATGTCATCGTAGTTTTAATTACCAATTTTCGTTTCATGTAAAGCAATAAATAAGACGTGAAAAAAAGTCATAACCCAATGCGGTCGATCTTCGATTATCGATCGTCGCAGCATGTTAAAAAAAAAAAAGGAGGCATATCGTTTTACCCTGACGCCTAAAAATCATGAGATCGATCCGATCTTTTCACGTTGAATTGATATTGATTTCATATATATCAGCCTTACTAAAGTTAGTGAAATCAATCACCCTCATTTACGTTAAAAATCCTAATTACCCATTTTTGTTTGATTTGATGATAAGGGTGTATTATGTATTAAATTAATAAAGTTTACTAATGAAAAAATTTTTATATCGTATTTTATTACCAAAATTTATCAAAATGCTGCGACTAATATATTTGCTATATTGTACGTATGGTAAAATTATGTTCCGACTTTAATGTTTATTTATAACAAATTCGGGATGAATAAAATATATGACTAGTGCGATTGCAACAGATTAGTAAGATAAATAATTTATATTACAACAAATAAAATATTATTATATATTTAACATGTTTTCATGATAGTAGATCTGGCCTTAATTCTCTACGATTCTATTTCTTCTGTCATTATTTATGTATAAGGTCATTCTTAGCAGCAGCACCAGGAACACCCGCAATTCATTCACTCTCGCCAAGTCATCACAACAGGTATGGGCTAAATAATTTTCAAAAGTCAAAACCTGTATCTATAATTCCAAATGTAGTCACATTCTCATGCTTTGATTCTTCCAACACAATCGTATTTTCTCAATTTGTTAATTTTTGTTCTCGTGATAAATCTCCACCATGTGACTTTACATGCTAACTAGTATTGGGCACTGGGACTAATTTTATTTACAAACCGAAAACACTGAACTTAAGGATTTAGAGAAGTCCAATGTGGTTGTTGCTATAGTTGTTGCTGTGATTGTTGCTATAGGTTATCCTATAATTAAACTAACGAGCTTAAAAATCAATTTGAAGATTTGCTACGAAAAGGTTAAGTAATCTGATTCTACACATAATTTTACATCATATCGGTATTATAATTTGAATTACTGGACTTATAACATTGACGTCAGCAATCATTCCAAGTTTATAGCTACATTTTTAACAAAGAGTATATTGATACTACTCCTTTGTCAACCCGAATTAACCTGATTTAGAGTTAGCGTTAGTAGGAATTGGGTGTCAAGGAATATATAAGCCTGTACGATGCGGGTGAATTAGTGTTTGAAATCTGAATGATGTGTTAGGATTCCAATATGAAGATCAACCGGTAAGATCCAATATGAAGATCAACTACGTAGTAAGAGAATATGAAGATCAACCAGTACACATGAGATAGATTATGGGGTTTTGATGTGCGATATATTTACTTCAAGAATTCGGTGTTTTGTAAAGATAGAATTAGGAATATTAAAGATGATTTCCTATAAAGTTTATAATACAAAACCATTGCTTGGCATATTCATCTTTAAATGGGGGTGATGGTCTTAATTTGATATTTAATGCCATATGACCGAATTAATGTAGATTAAGACATTCCAACTTATTCTTTAATCAATTAATAACAAATACCTTGTCGCAAAGTTGAAATACAGTATGTACGTACATATTCCTGAAGCATTGCAACTCAAGTTCCTCAAGTTCTCGAAAGTCGTATTTCCAGAAGGAACATAATCCTGATAAAGTTAACTTGCGTTAGCTACAGTATAATGCTGGTTGATTTGGTCTGAATTATGTTCTCTCGAGAAAATATCCTACATTCTGAAATAACGACCAAGATCTTACCTTATATAGTTTTATGTCATGTGGCATGAACCGATCCTCTTTTTAACAATAATTTTAACAATGAGTAGCATTCGAACATTAGACATTATCTTATTCATCGATCTCATTTTGTATGTATCAAATACCGTTCCTTCTCTAGTTAATGCCGAAACTAATTCTCGGTATATTGAAAGGAATCGATCAATAAAAATAAAATAAAAAACATAGAGGCAGGCCACGCCCCCACCTGGATTCGAACCAGGATCCTTTCGGTTAACAGCCGAACGCGCTAGCCGGTTGCGCCATGGAGGCTTGTATTATAGGAGCGTCTTTTTTTTTCTTTCGTGTACCTTGGTTTTTAATTTCAAAAATCGATGTGTAACACAGTAGTTAAAAGAATTAATACGTATGCTTAGTTTCAACGCCTCGTAAAATTACAGTTGCATAAAATTGTCAAAAAACTATTGTTTTTTTTTCCTTTTATTACAGCTCTTATCTAAATATTTACAGTGCTAACCAATTAACATAATTATTTCTGATACGAATACAAGCATTATATTAGAATAATGAATAAGAATAAATAAACTATACTCCATATCTACTATATATGAATGACGAAAACAGAAAACCTGTAAATAACAGGCTTTCCCTTTTCGTCACTCATATAACCAGTGTTTGAAAGTGTATATAAGTTAAATATTGTATGCAGCAGACAATTCATCAACCTCTGAAGTTGGTGTCAATGGTTTGTCCAGGATCCTTTTGATAATCTGGTATCCTCCTTTTGGTGGCGGTGGCAATCTCTGGTCTTCTGGCCGCATTGGAAGCGTAAGCGGATCTGGTGATAAATCGCCCTCTGATTCATGCGATCTTGTTGGTTGTTCAACTTGTTTTTGTGAATCTTCTGCATCGTCATCCGACGGTAAGATGTTACCGATTTCTTCGAGTGATGCTGAAGATGCATTGTTTGTGTGAGGTTGCGAATCTTCGTCGGTTTTTACAGGGGTTGATGTCATAATCGGCTTCATATCACGCCAGTCTGAAATAAGCGTTTCATTTAAATAATCTTGTTCTTGCAACTTGTGAAAAAAAAAAATAGAAAAAAATAGTTTTGCAGAAATTCATATGAACTTAATAGTAGTCCTGGCCGATAGTGAAAAAAAGTCAGTCGGTTTTTTAAAAAAAAAATCGGCTAACCGACTAAGCGCAGGGATGGTAAATGACCTGGTCATTTCAAATGACCTCAAGTCATCAAATAATGACCAGGTCATTTACCATCCCTGACTAAGCGCGCCTTAGTTATAGTAGAAAGATTATGATCGGCCAGGATCACTAGAATTTAAGTTTTATTCTTTACCTCACCAGGTTCTACCGCAGGATTGACGACAAGTTCACTATTGTCCTCATGAATCTTGAAATCGACACGCAAAACATCTTTATCCCGATTTTTCTCAGATACGAGTGCAGATCTAACAATAACTTCGTTTTTTTTATTCGTGCCATCATTTTTTTTATTTGATTTATCCTTTAAGGCACGTCTGGTGGTTTCTTTTCGTACAACGTCGTCATTCTCAACTCCCCGTTTCTTAGCATTTTTGTTATTTTCGTTAGTTGTATCTACGCTGACACCACCACGTCTTTTCTTGATTTTTACTTCATCCTTTGTCTTATTGACAGGCTTACTTATACCAAGCTCTAAAAACTCATCGAAAATATCATATTTGGTATTTGATTGTGCTAGTGCCAATTCATTTTGAGAAATAATTTGCCCTAAAATAAAAGCCGAACCTTCTTGTTTCTCTTCTGAACTTGGAACCGTGTTGGCTACGTCATTGAAAAAATCTACTTGAATAATTACATTAACAAAATAATTTTACATCTTATGTTTTTTCTAGAATATTTTTATATTCAAAGTGAACCATATATGACCATGTCTATGCACCTCTGTCCACCTTATCCTCGACTGCTTTCTCGCTATTTTCTTCATTTACTTCATCATTCGCATCTAGAAAACTTATCCTACTGCCAGTAACTTTTTTAAATGTATATTTTGGACGCGAACCCATAGAAGTGAATCGCGAAATATTAAAAGATGACATTTTATAATGTAATTATATTTTTTTTCTTTGAATGAAAAACCTTGTCAAAGATAAATGTTAGTACGCATGAAATGGAAATTATTATATTTTTTACCATATCATAATGATTATCAGAAAATTTTTTGCTGAGTTGGTAATAATAAACTTTACTAAACAACATTTTGAAATCTTGATATATTCGAATATTAATTATTATATAAACTCATTTAAGCTCTTTTTTTTTTAATATATTAGACAATTAAATTAGTTTAACAAATTGCCTCTTTAAACTATTCAGCAGGCAACTTGCCTTTTTTTTTCTAAAACAAAATAAACCCATAAAATATCAATATGTATTATTTTTTTAATGCTGTGACAGATATTACATAACGATAATATCTTGGTGAACACTCAGTTCACCCTAGGGTAAAAAAAAATGGGCATGCCTTTATATGGTCATATGATAATCTATTAATCAATCACAATCGTTCAAAATTATATTGTATATTAATTTTTTTATAACAATGACAATTACTAATTTCACCTATTTATTTTATTTTTAAAATGAGTCTTGCTTTGTAACTTTATTAAATATATACTTATACGTGTTAACAAAATTTGAAAATATATAAAATTTGGGTTTGAGCACATCTAAATCTTAAATTTTATAATTACATTTGTAATTATATAAATATTTCTAATATCTAAGTTTAGCATCACCTAGTTATTTTAATGATACCTAAGTGCAATCTGTCACATTACTTCGAGCTAAAGTAAGCTGTTTGTTTAATTACTTAAAGTTTATAATAAAAGATTTTTTTCTTTTTATGACAAGTCTTAATATTGTCTTTGTTATTTCTTTCTCAACTTGTTTTTCTTTTTCTCTTATTTTTTTTTTCTTTTTCTTATTCTTTGCTAATTTGCCTTTTCTCTTTTACTTGGTTTTTTTATTTTTTTTTCTCTTTCTCTTTTTACTTTACCTATTATTTTAATTTTTTCCTTTTATTTATTAATTCTTTCATATTATATTTTTCATATTTGTTTATAAAATATATCCTAGGTTTATATTCACAAACTGCTGTCTTGATTTCATGTTTAAGAATTATATTAATTCATTTTATATTTCTTTTGAAATTAGGTTCTTAATTAGTGTTTCTCTCATTTTTATTTTTTCTATTTCTGTTTTTCTAAAAAATATTATGTATAATATACTGTATATAATGGAAACCAGATTTTTTTTTTTTTTTAATCTCTTCTTTTTTTTTTGAATTTTCCACTGTATGGTTGCTAGTGGGTCATAGCTGGTAGTTGTTTTATTAGTTTAAATTTTAAGTTCACAGGACCTTCTATCAGGATCCTATTTACATTTTTACATTATTTGTATACATTTACAGTACTATCTATATACTAATTCTTGTGTTCTTGTTATCCCAGAATTTCACTAAGATTATTCCTAATTAGAGATTCCTTTGTTCTATTATTATTCTTAGCTCTCTAATCATTGCAGCCTTCTTATATCAGGTTCATCACTATTTAAGGATCTGAGTACCAAAGATCTTCCTATTTTTGTAATATGTCATCTGGTATAGTTAATCTGCAATTATAGTTCTAACTTAGTTTGTATCTCCTGTTGGACTTGAACTAGTAACTTTGTAATTGATGACCTAAGAGCATAACCACTTCACTATTAATCTGCAGATCTTTTTTAGTCTTTTTTATATTGTAGTAATCATCATTTTTTGGATTTTTTTTTAAAGATTTCTTTAGTGCTTATATATTAATAAGTATGTTTATATTTCTTTAATTTATCTTATTATATTTGATATTTTGTTGTTATATACAGTATATATTTAATCTTTATCTGTTGAGTTCTTCTAAGATTGAAAGCTTATTTATTATATATTTAATAAATATTTTTTTTTAAAAATTATCTCTTCTTATTATATAATGTATTTTATTAGTTATTTTTAGTCTTTTTTAAAAATAGATTTAATTATAAATTGTGATATTTATATTTAATTTTAAATATTTAATTACTTTTGTTTCTTTTTATTTTGCTTCTAGTCTAATATTTATTACTAATTTACAAAGTAGTCTTGCTAATATGTCAGTTCATCTATTTTCTTATTCTAGACAGTATTTTATTTCTTTATAACTACCTTTTTTGGTCTATACTATCTTTATACTTGTTGCTTTTTTTTTTACTAAACTATTAGTTTTATTATTTTATCTATTTTTATTATAAGTTTACATTTTAACTAATTTTATTTGAATGTTTTTTGTCATGACAAGATCTTTAATCTTTATTATACATATTATATTCTTCTTTTTAATAACCTTATTTATGTATACTTGTTCCAAGTTTCTATTGATATTTCTTATTGTAATATTACTATCTATATATCTTTCTATTTGCTTTTTTTTTGATATTATTAAAATTGTTATTTAGATTGTTACTAATTCTATTATCATTAATATCTGTTATCTTTTTAGTCTAAATATTATTTTTTTTTTGTCATTATTGCATTTTATTTGTTTGAACTCATCCTATATCTATATTATTTTTAACTGCTAATTCTTTATTAGCTTTTATATTAGTTACTCTATCTGTATATATTGTATATTTGTTTTTTGTTTTTTTTGAAAATTAAACTAGTCTTTTTCAGAACTAGAACTTTATTCAGTAAATTAGAACATAAAAACTTGTGGCTAAAGTTTCAAAGAAGTTACTTTACATTAGAAAATACAATTAGCTACACATATACTTTTGGTGTCTAATTTAAGTAGTCTGCTAATAGTTCTATACTAGTTGCTATATCTGCAACTCAACTAGATGTATTGCCTATTTAAATTTTTTGTACTACAATCTCTACTGTGTTATTAGATTATTTCCAATACATATATTAGTCAAGAAGGTCTAAATACTTTTACTTATATCCTTAGAACCTTATACCTTATTTTATATAATATATTCTTAGAAATATTATTATTAGAACCTTTTATATCTTACACATAGCTGATCTAGTTTTATGTAATATGCTATAATTACCAAACACTTGCAATCACAGAGTTATTTGTTTAATTGCTATATTATACTATTTCTACTTTTGTAAAGTTTATCCAAATCCTGGTATCTATTTTTTTGACTTTTTTTTATTCTTCTACTATCTAACTCAATATTTGACAGACTTCTCAAACTTCTAATCCAAATAGCCTAATGTGGTATATCTTAGTATTCTTTTCCTTTGGCAATTCTGATAACCTAGTTAGTTATATGCTTCTTTATACATCTTTCTATCTAGTTACATCTGCTTATTTTTTATTGAGGTTTTCTGGACTTTGATCAGTCCAATAGCACTTTCAAAAGTTTGTACTACCTTTTTACTTAGGAATTTCTAAGTAGGCTTCTGTCTTCTTGGTTTCTTGGTCTTCTACATCCAATGGTCTTATCATAGATTTGCACTGAAGTCTTATATAATACTAGTTATTAATATTTATATATATATATATAATATTACACTTCATATAGATGTCTTAGGCTTCCAATAATAAGTAGAATCTGATTGGTTGTATCCAAGATTACAGATACCTAAATCTTATTGATCGACAAAAGACAGTTTTCTATAATACAGATTAATTTTCAAATTTTATTATAAGTAGAATTTGACCTTAGATTTGTCATTTAAAAAATAACAACCTATATTGAATATTTGTTTTTGTTTTGTATTATATTTTTTTTAAGACTTTTATTATTTCTTGACTAATATTTTTTCAGTTTCTATTATTTAATAATCTTTATCTTTAGCTCTTCTATTATTATAAATCTTTCAAGTTTTTGTTTTTTAATTTTTGATCTATCTATCTTTGTTTTTTCTGTTATTTGGTCTATTACTATTTTAATTTAATTACTACTTTTTTTTATTAATGCATCAAGAATTATTTAATATTTTTGTTTATTTTTATTATTATTGTTAACTGTTCTTTATCTGTTTTTCTTTTTTTATATACTCTTTATATCTATTAATTTTAATTACTAATTTATTTTTTTTTTATTCTACATTTGCTAGTATTTAATTAATTTTTTTTTTTCTTTTTTTAATTATCTTTCTTAGATATCTATGATTTTATATATTATATACTACTTATTCTTTTTTTTTGATATATGTTCTTATTTAACTTGCATTGTCTAAGTATTTTGCCTACTTGATCTAAAATGTTTTTGTACTTCTTTACTTTCTAAACTACTAAGCATCTTTGATTCAATTACTTTGAACTGCTCTATTTTTTTTCTATACTTAATTGGTTTTAATAGTTTTTAACTTACTATTATATGATTAGTTTTCTTCTTTTATATTAAATAACTAATTTAGATGTATTAAGCCTGCTTTATTTATTCTAATTTTTTCTTTTTTTAGCTTAGTTAATGTTAGTATAAAAGCTTTAAAAGTTTATATATTATTAATTTGATTATTAAAAATTTTTTATTTTTTATTAATATATATATTGATAATAATTTAAAGATTTTAAAATTATTATTTTAAAAAAAATCAATTAAAGAAAGTTTTTTATTAAATTATTGAAATTTATTAATATTAATTGTTCTAATTTTAATAGTATTACAAAGTAAATTTTAGTATAATAAAAAAAATCAATAATCTTTCTCTCCTGACCACTACGTTTAGAAAAGAGGGCAATTTTGAAAAAGACAAAATATATTCTACACAGGGCTTTACTAACTTCAAAAACAGTAGCAGAATAGGGACTCTCTTCCTTGTTCTTAAAAAGTACAAGACTTTTGTTATAGAAGTCTACAGAAACAAGAAAAACAAATTAACAACAAACTTTTTAACAAAAAAAACAACTAGCAATAACTAAAACTATCTCTTCTTCTAAAGAGTATACTATGACAGCACAAACTAGCCAAGAAGTCTTAACTGACTCTATGCAATATAACTCTCTAAACAATATTAGCTAGGATGAGTAAGTTACTTTAGAAAATAAAACAAGAGCTTCTAAAAAAAGGAAGAATCAAAACAACTTTATAGTCATATCTAGTTCCAAAACATGTCCTGAAAAACAAAACAACAAGGAAAACAAAACAACAACTTCATATATTAAACAAAACAACATGTCTTATGCAAAATCTAATGCAACAGGTATAAACAAAAGCAAAGAGGCTGT